CAAGGTCCTTGGTCTTCTTGGGAGACTATGAGGATAAAACTATTTTTATGACAATATTTATATGTTATTTGCCTTTTTTCATTGTATCAACATCTACACTGATGGAGCAAATGCAATGGTGGGTAAAACTTCTGGGAGCTTAGCACAAATCAAGGCAGTGGTGCCAAACTATCTTGGTAGTCATTGTGTGCTTAAATACCACTTACCAAGGAAAATGCCAGTTTCACTTAAGAATATCATTAATAAAGCAGTAAAAATTAGTTTTATTAAATCTCAAGTACATTGCACACTGAGTACATTTTTCTGATGAGATCAGTGGTGATATTAATAAATGTGAGATTTTTGATATTATATAAGAAATGTGCTAACATTTGGAAAATATGCATAACTCAGTGAACTAATATTTTCCAAACGACTAATGCATGATGTTAAAAAAATCTTGATTTGTGTTAAAAGTTTCATTCAAAGTAAAAAGAGAGTGCAATGGGTTTTAATACAATACAATACATAGTGCACTGATGAGGCTTTAGATTCTACACTGCAACTAACCATTAAGAAACAATCAGTATAATGTCAAATAGAAGAGACAATAGTAGATACCTTTACATTCTCCCTTCTTTCAAAAAGAAAGCTTCCAGTGTTTCACTGTTTAGTATGATGTTTGCTGTAGATTTTCTGTAGATACCCTTTAATTGATTTTAAATTCCCTTTTATTTCAAGTTTGTTGAATTTTTAAATTAAGCATCTATATTGATTTTTTTTTTTGCCATTTGCCTCTTCTAAATATATTGAGGTGGTCATACGGTTTTTCACCTTTATTCTATTAATGACAAATTACATTGATTCATTTTTTAACATTAAACCAATTTTGTATTCCTAGGATTAAATCCAAAGAATTTATAAATTGATAAGGATTATAAATCCAAGGTGTATATTACCCTTTCGTATTGCTGGATTCAGGTTGCTAAAGCATTGTTTCAGATTTTTAAATTAATGTCCATAGATCAAATTGATCTATAATTATATTTTGTCACATTCTTTATGATAACTTTTAGTATCTTATTATGATTTGGGGAGTTGTTTCCTTTTTAATTTAATTTTATGTGATATTAAAATACTTTATTTCTTAAAAAAAATTGGCAGAACTCACATTAAAGCCTTCTGGTCCTAAAGTTTTCTTTGTGGATTTCCTATGAATGATTCCATTTATGTAATGGGTAAAGGAATTTTCAGATTTTTTTTTCTGTGTATTACAGGCTTTGCTAATTTTCCCCTAGGAAATTGGTCCATATAGACTACAGTGAGTCATCCTCCTGATCTTTCCAGTGTCTGCAACATCTTGAGTCAATGCCCCTTTTTATTCCTGATAGTTGTGTGTTGTGTGTGTGTTTCTCTCTCTTTCACCAGATACTTGACACCTTTATTAATGTTCTCAAAGAATCAACTATTGGCTTTATTATTCCTCTCTACTACATATTTTTTCTATCTCAGGTACTTTTGTTCTTATTTATAATAGCTTTTCTACTACTTTCTTTCTGTTTTACTGGTTTTTTCCCTCTAATATCCTGAGATAGATGATTGGCTTATTAACTTTTAGCCCTTTTTATTTTCTAATATAATATTTAAGGCTGTAAATCAACACTCTTTCAAGTACTTTTTAGCTGTATCCTACATGTTTTTGAGAGGTAGACCTTTTTTTTTAAATCATTCAATTGAAAAAATTTTAAAAATTTTCCATTATGAGTAATTTTCCAAATATACGAAGATATTCTGCTTACCTTTTTATTAGTGATGTATTTAATCACATTATGGTCAGAAAACCTCCTCTGTGTTATCTTGGTTTTTAAAAATTTATTGAGGTTTAGAAAGAGAAAAATACCATATAATATCACTTATATTTAGAATCTAAAAAAAGGACACAAATGAACTTATCTACAAAACAGAAACAGACTCACAGACACAGAGAACAAACATGGTTTTCATGGGGTAAAGGAGGTGGGGAGGGATAAATTGGAAATTAGAAATTTGAGCCTCTGGGGGAGTGATGGAAATGTTAGCTATCTTGATTGTGCTGGTGGTTTCATAGGTGTATACATCTATCAAAATTCATCAAATTGTACATTTGAAATATGTGTAGTTTACTGTACAGGAATCATACCACAATAAAGATACTAAAAATTGTTTAAGTATACAGTTCAGAAATTTTAAGGAAAAAAATTGTTGAGGCTTGCTTTAATGATCTAGTTTGAGTCCATTTTTGAAATATTTTTGTGTGGACTTTAGAACATTTATTCTGCAGTTGTTAAGTGTAATATATATACTCTCAGGCCAACTTTATTAATCATCATTGTTTTAATCATCTATTAGTGGGGATTTTTTGGTCTTCTTATTCTATTATGAACAGATATATTTTTAAAATTCCCATATAGTTGTGAATTTGTCTATTTCTCCTTATAGTTCTGATTTTCTTTTACATAGTTTGAGTCTGTGTTATTAGATGCATATAAATTTTATATATTTCCTGCTGAATTGAATTGTATTATTAAGAAGCAATTGTCTTTATCTTAGTAAATTTTTATTTGGTAAAAAAACATAAAACAAAATTTTCCATTTTAACCATTTTTAAGTGTACAATTCAGTGGCATTGATTAGATTCTCAGTGTTGGGCAACCCTCACTCCTACATAGTTCCGAAACATTTCCTTCACCCCAAATAGAAACTCTATAAACATTAAGCAAAACTTCCCCATTCTACCCCCCCACCCCTGATAAATCTACTTTCCATCTCTATGAATTTGCCTATTCTAGATAATTCATATAAGTGAAATCATATTTGTCATTTTGTATCTGCCTTATTTCATTTAGCATAATGTTTTCAATGTTTATCCATGTTGTGGCATATATCAGAATTTTGTTCCTTTTATGGCTGAATAATATTCCATTGTATGTTTATATTTTAGCGTTTTGTTTATCCATTCATTTGTTGAATACTTGGTTTGTGTTTCCACCTTTTGGCTATCGTGAACAGCACTGCAGTGAACATGGTATACAAGTATCTGTTTGAGTCTCTGCTTTCAATTTTTGGAGGATAAATACCTAGGAGTAGAATTGCTGGGTTGTGTAGTAATTCTGTGTGTGGCTTTCTGAGTAACTACCAAACTGTTTTCAATAGTGATTTTTGTTTTAAAATCTATTTAGAGTACTATTAATATAAGAATGCCAGCTCTTTTTTACTTATATTTGCAGGGTATATATATTTCTACTTCTAAATTTCAGTGTGTTTGAATATTTAATACAGTTTTTTTTTATCCAGTCTAAAAACCTTTATCTTTTAACTGATGCATTTAATCCACTTGTATTTTATTTAATTAATTAATACTAATAACTAATATATTTTAAACCCATCACCACATTTTGCTTTCTCTTTGTTTCACCTGTTCTTTAAATATTCTCATCTTTATTTTCTTCTTTTGGATTATTTACTTTCATCATTTCATTTTTTCCCCCTGTACTGATTTATAGGCTACATTCTCTATGTCTGCTGTTTTAGAGATTTGCATATATATATATAAAATTTATCACGTCAAAAGTTAGTCAATAATGTTATTTTGGAGATTGAGACTACAAAGGCTTTAAACACTTACTTCATTTACTCTCTTCCTAATTTGCATGGTTTTTGCTTTTGTGTTTTTAATTCATTTTTTGATCTCATAAGACATTATTAATGTGTTACGCACAACAATGCATTGTTCAGATTTATCCACGTTTGACTACTTTCTTCGCTCTTCATTCTTGCATCTCAGGGCTTCTCTCTGAGATCATATACTTTCTTCCAGAATGACATTGCTTAGAATTCCCTTTCTCAAGGACCTGGATACTAGCAAACTCTCTGTGGTTTTATTTGTCTTTTTTTATTTATTAATGTCTATATTGTGCACTCAGTGTTGAAAGATATTTTCACTAGGAATAGAATAATAGGTGAACAGTTACTTTCTTTCACGTCATGAGGGATATCATTGTATTGTCATCTGGTCTAAATTGCTGCCGTTGGGAAGTCAGCTGTCAGTCTAACTGTTATTCCTTTGACAATGATCTCCACCCAACACTGTACCCCAGAATACCACAAAACCTTTTTGTGTATGTGTTCATTAGTTTTATTATGGTTAATCTGGTGTGAAGTTCACTCATTAGTTAGTTCTTCTTTCCCTCCTTTCTTGCTTTCTTTTTTCCTGTTTAGGATTTATTAAGCTTTTCCAGTATGTGAACTGATACCGTTCATTGGTTCTGCAAAAGTATAGGTCATTATTTCTTCAAATATTATCTCTATCATATCAGCTGTCACCTCTCCTTCTAGGAGTCTAGTTAAATGTATGTTAGGCTTTCTCACTGTTTCTTCCATGAATCTTAATCTCTCTCGTACGTTCACTTCTCTGAATCTCCGTGCTGTATTCTGCAAAATCTTGTGACATGAACGTCCTACTCGCTAATTCTCTTTTCCTTTATGTCTTCATATGCTGTTAAACCACTGGTTTTTGTTTTGGTTTTAATTTCAGTAGTTGTGATTTTCATTTCTAAAAGTTTTATTTGGTTCTTTACAAAGTTTCTTGGTCACTCACATAGCTGTTAGCAGGAGGCCCGAGTTCCTTGCTGGCTGTTGGCTGAAGGCCTCTGTTTCTCACTATGTGCGTCTTTCCTCGTGACACGGCAACTGGCTTCCCTCAGAGCAAGTGATCAGTGAGAGAGAGAGAGCAGGAAGTCTTCCTGCCCATCGTGTCTTAGTCTCCGAAGTCACACGCGAGCATGTTTGCTTTCTTCTGTTAATTAGAAATGAGTCACTAAGTCCGGCTCATCCCCAAGGGAAGAGGAATTAGACTCTACCTCTTAAATGTAGTGACAAAGAATGTGTGGACATTATAAATCATTAAATCATTAAAATCACTTATTACCCACTTCCTGTATGCCAGAGTGCAAAATCAACAGAACAGAGAGATGTCTTACATAATGGAGCTTAAAGTCTGGTGGGTACGTGAACCTGAAAACAGGCAATTACAGTACACTGAGATATGGGCCCTAGTTTTTTCCCATTTGACATGGGAGACAGTAGGTGCTTGGGGGGCACATGAGTCAATACATGTGAAAATGCTTTTGTGTAAGTGTAGTTTAGCAAAAGTGAACCAGAAGGCCTACATTTCAAATCCCAGCTCTTCCACTTACTGGCTGTGTGACCATGGGCCAGTAACTCACCTTCTCTGTGCCTCACTCTCACTTTCCTCGTCAGTAAGATGGGAGAGTAACAGTATCCCACTCATAGGGTCCTTGTGAAGACTAAATGAGTTACCATTTAGAAAAGACTTGAAAGGTGCCTGGAACATAGCAAGGTTTAGTTACCATGGTTGTAAACTGCAAGCTGCTTCAGAAATGAAAGGAATTATGATTCTAATTTCTGAGATAGGTATATATCCTTATGCCTGTCTTACTGAAAATGAAATCAACCTTTTAAAAAGCTTTAATTTGTAGTGATATATTTGTACTTTTTTTTTAAAGCATACGATGTGTAGTAAAATATGAGTGCCACTCTGTACCTCCATCCCCACCCACTCATCAATCCCACTTCCTTCCCCAGAGGAAACCACTTTAACAGTTTCATGAGTGTTCTTTTAGAAATTTTTCTATTCAAAAGCTATGTATTTTTAAAATACTTCAATGTAAATGGAATCATATATATTTTTAATGACTGTATTACATTTGGTAGAAGATATATACCATCAATTCTTTAACCATTCTTCTACTCATGGGCATCCATGTTGTTTTCAACTTTTTATTATTGTAAACAATTCTGTAATTCTAGCCTTCAAAGACTTGGTGAATATAAATGTTTTTGATTAAGACCTGTTATACTCATTGAACCTATACAGCTGTGGGTGACCATTGGGTGGTCTGTCCCTCCCATAGGAGTGGCTTCCTGGTTTCCTACCTTGATCACAATTGTTTGGCCCAGGAGTTGGCACCAGTCCCCAAGTTGTGCTAACGACAGTCTCTTCTGTGGGAACTTGGAAGTGGGACCCAAAGCGAGAGTGGTGCTCTCTAGGCAGCCAGGATTGAGTCACTATGGGAGCTATGGGATAGTTATCTGATCCGTGGGGGCCAGAGATGCAGCCAAAGCTGGCTGGCAGGGACACAAGGAGGAGACAGACCTGCAGAGAGGAGACGAGAGACAGATGCCGGGTATTTTCCCAAGATAGTACCTGGTCTTCTTCCTTCCAGGGACCCAGTTACACGCCTGCCTTGGATTCTGTCAGATACTGGGCTTGCTATAGCTGGTTTTTCTTACTTACATGCATAAAAGTGGGTCCCCTTGTATCTTCCTCCAAGGTTGAGCCCCAATCACTCTGATACGGGAGGACTCCCTTGACTACCCCAGCCCCAGCCTAAACCTGTAGGCCTTGGAACTCACACCATTTATTTTGCCCACTTTGTTTCAAAATCGTTATTATTCAACATTACTGTGCAAAGAGGAATTCTCGATAAGGAAGCTAAAGATCATTTTTTTTTCTTTTTTAAACATTTGATAATCTTGGGTGAAGTTTTTTAAGGCAGATGACAAAAATTACCTAGTTTATTAATTTGAGTACACTACTATTTCATCATTTCTGGGTGATAAAGTAAACATTATAAAGAAAACTTTTTATACATAAGACATAATTCCATGAGTCTACAGGTTCAGCTAACATATGAGTACTTGCTACTAAAATAGAATAAAAGATGCCTCCTCTCTGAAAAGGGAAATATTATATCAGGTATAAATCCCTCTTTCAAAATGGAAACTGTTTTAATTAAAGAAAAGCAGGGGGAGGGTATAGCTCAGTGGTAGAGCTCATGCTTAGCATGCACAAGGTCCTGGGTTCAATCTCCAGTACCTCCATTATAAACAAACAAACCTAATTACTCCCCCACCTCCCAAAAGCCAATAAAGAAAAGCATTAAGCAAACCACCTAGGCCTAAACATACTTTCAAATTCAGGTGCTATACTGTAAAAATGTGTCAGTCTGTGCAGGTGAGAAAGCTCAGTTTATAACTTAGTGACCCACTCCCAGAGCCTTAAAGATTTATCAGTCCGGTTACCAAATAAAATTTAATTTTACCAAGCTCAACTCCCCATGGTAAGAAACGGACTTTTGTCTGTTGCTTCCGCACACTTGTGTGAGGACAGAAAGTCTGTCTTGCTAGGAAGCCCACACTCATTGTTTACCTTCCTGTTAGTATGGACATCAAGGTTGGTGAAACAGGTTTACTTGTCCTAAAATGGGTATAGCTGGTGTCCAATCAAGAGAGTCTGTGAATTATACTTACTGTTAAACTTACGATGATCTTATTTTGTTTGTTTTGATTTAGAGCTAAGTACCTTGTTTCCACCTACAAAACCTCTAGTGCAATTTCAATTTGTGTTATTTTTAATTCAGTAGTTCTTTTAATTAATCATACTCATATGAGAATATATCAGTGTACATTCTGAAGAATAAAGGTAAAATGAGCATTCATCTAACCTCCTTCAGGTTAAGAAAAGAACTTTGTCCTTGTGGGAGAAACTCCCTGTGTGGCCTCTTCAGTGGCTCCTCCCTTCCTTACATCACCAAGGTAATCGGAGTCCGGATTTGTAGGATCATCATCCCCTTGGTTTTCTTTAGTTTTGTGACCTGTGTGTGTCCCTAAACAAAATAATATTTAGTTTTGTCAGCTTTGAATTTAGCATAAACAGATCATACTGTATGTTTTCTTCTAGGCCTTGCTTCTTTCAACATTGTGTTTGTGTTATCTGTGTTGATGTGTGTAGCTGTTAGCTCACTGTTTTCATTGCTGTATAGCAGTTCCTTCTGTAAATATACAATGACTAATTATATTCTACCCTGGCGGATATTTGGATTGCGTCCAGTTTTTTATCATTATGAACAATGCTGCTGTAAACACATACAAGTTTCCTAGTGCCGGAGTTTCTCGGCTAGGGGAAAGAACAGAATTGCAGCGTCATAGGATTGTATGGGTTGGGTCTTAGCAGGTAATGCTCAACTGGCTTTCAAAGGGCTTGTACAGACTTACACTCTGTCTGCAGTGAATAGGAGTTCCCATTGTTCCAGAGCCATTTTCTGCATTTGGAATGGTCACTTATTTTTTATCAGTCTGGTGGGTATATGAAAATATTTCAGTGTGGTTTTATTTTGTATTTTCCCCCTTACTCATCAGGTGGAGCTCCTTCTCATACGTTTAATTGCTATTTGAGTTTTCCCTTTTGTGAAGTATCTGTTTTAGTCTTTGGCCCACTTTCCTACTTTGTGTGTGTTTGTTACTCACTCCTAAGTGTACTTGGTGTATTTTTATACTGCTCTCTTATCACTTAAATGTGTTGTAAACATGTATCTCCTCCCAGTGGATGGTAGATATTTTATGAAGTCTTTTGATGGATAAAGTTTCTCAATTTTAATGCAGTCGAGTTTACCAATCTTGTCTTTTAGGGTTTGTGTATTTTATGTCTTAAGAAAACTTTCCCTATGCCAGGGTCATGAATCTCTTCTATATTATTTTCTAAAATTTTTATAGTTCTGCCTTTTATAGTAGATTTTTAATTTACCTGGATATTATTTCTATGTATGGTATGAAGTAAGTGTCCAATTTCATTTTTTTAATGAGTATCTAGTCATTCCAGCACCATTTACTGAAAGGTCCATTATTTCTCCTTGATTCTGCAGTGCCTCTTTGTCCATATGGATCTAGGTCTGAGCTCTCTCTACAAATTCATTGCTATATTCTTCTATCCTTAGACCAATACCATACTATCTTTATTATTATGACTTTATAAATTTTAATATCTGGATGGCAAGTCCTCTGTCTTATTCTTCTTCAATAGAGTCTTGGCTATTTTTGGCCTTTTGCACTTCCATATAAATTTTAGAATTAAGTTATCAAGTTCTACTGAAAAAAAAAGTCTATTGGGATTTTGATTTGAATTGCAGTTTAATCTACAGATAAATTTGGGGAGAATTCACATGTTTAAATTTTAAGTCTTCCAATCCATGAACATAATATATCTCCATTTATTTAGGTCCTCTTTAACAACATTCAATAGTTTTATAATTTTCTTGCACATATTTTAGTTTTATTCCTGAATTTTTAAAAATAAATTTGGATGCTACCACAGATGTCACAGATATTATCTTCTTAATTTTCATTTATGAGCTGGTATTTAGAAATCAATTATTTTATAATTGTATTATTTTCTAAGGCTCCTGTAAAAAATTGCCACAAACTTTGTGGTGTAAAACAGCAGAAGTTTATTATCTCATAGTTCTGTAGTTCAGAAGACAGAAATGGATCTCACTGGGCTAATAAAATCAAGGTGTTGGAAAGGCTGTGTTCCTTTCCGAGGCTCTTGAGGAGAATCTATTCCCCGGCTTTTGCCAGTTTTTAGAGCTGCCCACATGCCTGGGCTTGTGGCCCCCTTCCTTCATCTTCAAAGCCAGCATCAGCAGGTGGAGTTCTTATGGTGCATCAGCCTGACTTTTTTGATGCCCTCTTTGACTTTTAAGGACACTTGTGTTATATACAGATAATCCAGGATAATCTGCTCATCTCAAATCTTTAATTTAATCATATCTGCAAAGTCACTTTTGTCATGTAAAGCAACATATTCAAAAATTTCAGGGATTAATATCCAGATATCTTTGTGGGGGAGGAGGGCACCATTCTGCCTCCCACAGTATTACTGATTTTGTACCTTTCAATCTTACTAACCTTTCTTATGAATTCTTATCATTTATCTACAGGTTCTTTTAGATTTTCTACATATACAATCAGATCATTTGCAAATAATGTTCATTTTGTTTTGTCCTTTCCAGTGAGTGTGTGTGCATATTTGTGTGTGTATTTTTTCCCCCTACCTTCAAGGCCAAGGTACAACAAAAAGAATGACCAGGGGGTAAAAAACAACTGGCTAGGACCTCCAGTATAACATTCAATAGGATTAATTATATCAGGCAGTCCTGTATGGTTTCTGTACTCAAATGGAATACCCTCAGCATTTCATCATTAATTTGCTGTAGACTTTTTTCTCCTGAAATTGAGATGATCATATATGATTTTATCCTTTTATCTGTTCATATCATTAATTACATTTTCTAATGTTAAACCAACCTCCATTTCTGAGAAAAACCAAACTTAGTCTTGCATTTTAGTTATTATGCTAATGAGAGATGTGGGCCTTTTATTTTCCTTTCTTGTATGTGTTGTCCTTATTAGGTTATAATACCTAGGTTATATCAGCCTCATAAAATTAGTCACAGTGAGTACCTACTTTTTCTGTTCTCTGAAATTGTGTAAGATTACAACTGTTTGTCACTACATTGGTTTCAATAAAATTGCTGACATTTTCTAAACCTAAAACACATTTGTACATTCTTGAACTTCTGTGTTAAGTGCATTCTCATCTTATTTATATGCATTTAATTATTAAATCCAGGAAGATTGGAGATATTATCTCTCTTTTTTTTCCTGATAGGGAAAATGAAGCTAACCAGGTTACAGATAAATCTAGACTGTTATCTTTCTATTTATATGTCCCACATTTTGCTACTCAAAATGTGGTCTGTGAACCAGCTGAATTGGCATCTCCTTGGGGCATGTTGGTGGCAAAACTGAATCTCAGGCCCCCACCCAGGACCAATGAATCAGAACCTGCATTTTAACAAGATCCCTAGGTGATTCCTTTGGACATTAAAAGTTTGAAAAAACATTGGCCTACATCACCAATTAGATTATAAAGTCTTTGAGAGCTTCTTACACCTTTTCCTATTCCGAGTTCCAAGCACATGCTATTCATAAAATCACACACTCATGAAATGAAGGCTATGGTGATGATTTTGTAAAACACATGGCAAATCAGAATCAGTTCTGTTTTTGACTGTGTCAGGAACTCCATATATTGCTTAATTTCAATAAGAACTTACATTTAATTTCAGTTTCTCATCCATAAAAAGGAATATAGTTATTTTCTCTAATGACCCAACCAATTCCAAAATGCTATACTAGAACTGATAAATATCATCTTATAGTTAAACTAATTAATGTTGATAACAATTGAAATTGTTCTGAGAGATTTTTCTTTGCAAAAAAATTCAGTATCAGTTATGTAATGGTGTTGAATGAAAGATGTAATACATTAAAAACTATCATTCACATCCAAATAAGTTGTTATTCATAAGATCTACCTTGAAAGAGATGTTTTTAGTTTGATCAGATGCCTTTTCTCAAGCAGCAAAGTAGGGCAATAACAGGGACTGACAATTTGTGTTTTCTAGACAGATCTCAGGTTCAATAGCTTGGGAAAATGGCAGATTAGAAATTGAAGTAGGGGGAAAATATAAGATGATGCTTTTTTTTAAGTTTCAACATTTTAATTACTGAAAAATAAAGTGGCTTCTTACTAGAATATTAGGAGAAGATGCTCTGATTGCCTGAACGTCGGGTAGGATTATCAAAACCAGAATTAATATATTCTTCCTAGCAGTTTAGAATTTCATGCTTTTCTAGCAGTTTGTGTTTGTTCCCATCTTCAAGATACCAGAGGTAGAGAAGGGTAGAGAAGACAGCAGAGTTAGAGAGGAAGATTGCCCTATTCCAGGGTATATCTGGCTGACCTAAAAAATGAGACATTTCATAATTTGATCTGCTGTTGTGTCTGTCACTAGAAAAACCAGCATTTTCTTGGATAAGAATTTGCCCTCAAATTGTATTACGATAACTATATCATAATCATCATTGTGGAAACCATTGTTGACAACCCACAAAAGAATCAAGGTTTACTCATGATTGCTGCTTATAGTTTTGATTCCTTTGATCTTCACATCTACTTGTTTGGCAATTCTGGTCCCTAAATTAGACATTTGGTATACTTGGTCAGCCTGGGAACTTCAAAGACAACAAGCTGTCCAGCCATCTGTGAGACTGTCATGGAAGTTCCTTGTGTTCTCACAGATTGCAGCTTGTCTGTTCTGAAAGATGAGCAACAAATCTATTCCAAGCCTGAGTAAACCAACTGACCAGTCTCAGAGCAGCACTGGTGGGTGGTCACTCATGGGTCTAGCAGTTCCCATGCAGAACACCTAAACACTGTACTTAGAATAAGATTAGTGGGAAACTGGTATCTTCCACATCTTGGAGAAGCATTGTTTGTTTTTGTTGCTGTTGTTGTTGGCATATTTTGTGTGATTAAGAAGTGGTATTAGCTTTTGGAAATAAGACAAAATTGCCTCTCAGATACCTTGCCAAAGTTAACCTATTGCATGTATGTATTGGATTTGGGGATTGTTCTATTTATTTTAGATGAGTAGTAAGAGGGTGTGGAGTAAGGCTTTACAGAGATCACTGCAGAAGGCATTTATTTTCATACATAGGGAAAAATACACCCATCTCATAATTACAAGTATTTGGGGTTGTAACATTGAGACAGTTTCTATTCCTGCCTTCCACCATTAATTAGGTAGATGACCTTGGGCAAACCACTTAACCTCTAGGTTTCCTCATCTGCAGAACTGAAGGCATTGGTCTACAGAACCACTTAAATCCCTCTACCAAATATTTATTCATTCAGGACCTACTATGCACCATCAGTGCTAATAACACTGTGATTCTCGGAAAGCTCAAGATTGTGTCTCCAACGCTTCTAAGCATCACTCCCTGCTCTTCTTTAAGATCATCTCCTGAATTCTCCAAAAAGGTCGAAACACTCTTCCTGCCTGAAAATAATATACACGGAGTGGGGGGCGGGAGCGGGAGCGGGGGTGGGAAACGTGTCAGTTGCATTCACCTGGCGCCAACCTGGGGCGGTTGCGCCAGCTTGTTAGTGAGTTTTTATTTCTCTGTAAAGGGCAACCTCTGCATTTTGAAGGGCAACCCAGTCATCCGAAAAATTGCAATTTAAAGAGCGCCTGGGGTCAGGGCGGGACACCCAACCGCTCTTTTTTCGGCTGGGGAAACCTGGGAAGAATTTTTTGGGCCCCATCCGAGTCACGCGGCAGTTCCACGGCAGGAACTGTGCAATGGGGCGCGACCGGGGGGGCGTCCGTGGGTGGAAAGGAGCGGGGAAGGCTTCCACGGTGCCAACTTCCCCCCCTTGGGAACGGGGAGTCACGGCGGCGCGGCGTGGACAGCAGGGCTCCGGATGGCCCCGAACCCGGGCCAAGAACGCCTCGTTTCGCCGTAGGGGCCTGGGGCGGAGAAGGGCGGGGATGCCGTCCCCTCTCTCTGGCAGAGTCCGCATCGCGCGCTTCCCGGGACTCGGCGAGGGGCCGGAGCGCGAGCGGGAACGGCGGCCCAAGGCGACGCGGCGGGGACGCAGACTCGCCATATCGACAGCGGCTGGGAACTCCGGGCTCGCACTTTCGGTAAGAGCACCGGGGCTTCCAGCGGCGCCGCGCCCGCGCCCCCGCCCCCGCCGGCCCGGCTGCCCTTTCGGATGGTGACGCAGCCGCCTGGGTACGCGGAAGTCTGCGCGGAAACCCGGAACCTCCCGGGCCGCCGGGGCCGCCGGGGCCGCCCCTGCCGCCTTCCCGCCCCCGCGCAGCCCCGCGCTGCGCCGAGCCCCGCGCCCGGTGTCGCCCAAGCAGCGAGGACCTGACGCGCGCTGCAAGCGTTCAACTTCTGAGCGATTCCTCGGCGCAGGCCCGTGATAAATGCTTGTCTCTGTCCTAGTGACGCGCATACTATTATTACCTTCACTTAGAGGTGGGGAAACGGGCTCAAACAACAAAAAAAAGTTACTTGCTTGAAGTCAAGCAAGGCAGAGCGGCGAATGAAATCCGGGGCTGTATCGACACAGGTATAATCATAATTCTCTTGGATCCGCCGCTTCACAGCTTTCATTCCAGTGAGCAGCCAACAAGTAACAGGCAGGACAGGTAGACTGGGAACCGGAGCCCCTCTTCCCGGGGCGACGGAGACAATTTTTAATGGTTGGTGCTCACACAATCCCCCAGCTGTGCTGTGAAGTGAATGAGTGAATGAATAAATAAATAAAATAAATCTGTATCCGTATCTATATGTATGTGTGTGTGTATATATATATTTCCCGTGTATATCATTGAAGTGGAAAAAGTTGGAAAGCTTTGTTTAAGCCCTTGTGCCTCTATTTTCAAACTGTATATTGGGCTCAGGGACACCGATCAAATGGGATTGTTGGAGGATTAAGTAGAACAGTATTTACATGGGTGCTAGCACCTGGGGGGACCCTCAGTACATTTAATTCTCTTTTTTGCGCACTCCCAGGGACATCGGGGCATTCACCTTCCTCGCCTCTGGAGAGGGGATGCAGTCATTCTAGGTCAACACCTTCTCTGGCAGATGAGAGATTCAGTCCACTCAACGGAAGATCATTTACCCCATCGCCATCTAATTAGTGACCGACACCAAGCTAGGGGTCTTGTTTGTCGGCCCCTGCAAGGGCTTTTTCCATTTCACGCATCTTTTCCTCTAGAAGTTTCAGAACAGCTCTAAGGCCCAAATGAGACTTCCTCGGTGACCTGATAGTAGGGACCTCTGGAAAGACTAGAGTAGGAGATCGAGGCAGGGGGCTCGAAGCCTGCCTACCCCCTTGCAGAGGAGGACCCCCAGGCCTGGGCCTCTTTGCTGGCGGGGGCTGGACTTCTTTTGCTAACTTGGGGCATGGCTGGAGCCCAGCAAAAGAAGATTGCGCGTGCGTGCGTGCGCACGTGCGTGTGCGTTTCTGCCTATGGAACGTCCAAGCAAGCATAGATGAAGGTTTAGGATTCTATCCTGAATGGGACGGAGTCCTTCCACAGCAAATCATTTCAGGATCAGTACAGAATTTTGAAGGGAGTTTATCTTGAAAAGTGAAATAGGCCAGTGGAAGTTTTCTAACATGGTAAAAAATCTTGGGAACTGTCCACTCTATTTGCTTAGGTTTTAAAATCGCTACTCACTGAAGCAGCTGTTTTTCCCTTCCAAGGCTCCATTTTGTGAAATGAGGCTAAAATATCTAGACAGCCCTTTCCCTGGGGTACCCTGGAATGTTGGAATATGAATGGCCTCTTAGTGGAGCTGGAGCTCCAAAGAGAAGTAGGGCCATGTAAGGACAGGACGCTCTCCTTTAAAAACAAAACTTCTGTTTTAAAATCACAAAAATAATTAATACTCATTGTGGAAAAGTTAGATTTCTCCCCCCCAGAATCAGAAACAATGAAAAGAATTGAAATCCCACAACCAGAAAACCATTGTTAACAATTTGGTGTATAGCATCATATGCAACCAGACCGAACACACTGATTTTCTCCTTGAACAACCTTTTTTCCTTGAATAAAATACCATGACATGCCACTAAATATTTTCCTCATGTGTTTGTAAATGACTATTTAGTATTTCATTGTGCATTATTTAGTCAAACCCAAGTGAAAGACTTAAAATTGTGTCCAGGATTTTGCTATTGAAACAGCAATGTAGTATGAGTCTAGGAGATAAATCTTTGAGTACATTCTCAATTATTTACATACATAAATTTTCTGCAAGTGGTGTTTCTGGGACCAGAAATAAAGTGACCTTTTAAGCTTCCGTTTTTCTCCAGTGTTCCCCAGATTTTCTGTATCATTTATTCGCCAAGAATTTACTGAGCACCCATCACATGCCAGACATGCCTGGATACAGAGATGAACACTTTGAAACACAAGGTGTCACAGGTATTGTCAGGCAAGGCTCTGATGCTCAGGGAAAGCCAGATGCCCAGTTTGAAAAGAGTCGTGAAAGACCAATAAACTTTCTTGAGACCAACAGATTTTAGGTGAGAGGAGGTTAATGGGGAACATTGAAAAAGGATGGGAGGAACAATGAGAAGGTCAAGGGGGAGTTCTTGTACAGAAGCATGGTGGCCTTGAAGTCTGATATGTGTTCATATATTTGGGGAAATTGTGAGTTGTCTTGTGTGTGTGTGTACTAAGAGTAGATCTGAGAAAGAGGGCAGGACAGAAGGCAAAGAAATAGCCTCTTATGTTACACTAAAAAGATTGGAACCTTATTCACATAGCAAACAGAAAGTGATTGATGGGGCCTCTAAGATCATGGTAAAATTGGATCCCACCACTTAATCCACCAAAGGGCCAGCTTCAGTAGACCCCCAAAATCATTCCTGGGGAAGGAAAACAGAAGATAGAAAATTTTTCAAAGGAAATATCCCAAAAGAATGTTGAAATGAAAACTGCAAAGAACCAACCAAACTCAATGGTAGTGACTACCATGGCCATCACATTTAAGAGCAGGCTGTGGTTATCATTAGTAAGTTTGATCATGAAAAATTTTTTTTCTCTATGTTAATGAGAATGGCCTTAATGCTGGTGCATGCCCAGAGGTTACTATAGTTTCCAATCAGAAGAACAAATCCAAGACTTTCAGTAAGTCTACAAACAGGTTGCATAGATGGTGGTTTAAGAAAAACTTTTACTTATAGACAAAAACTGTGACCAGGTTGATCATGACTTCTCAAAAATCAGGAAAATTCTCAGCTATTATTTCTTTGAATGTTTCCCCTCCTTCATTTTTGCCATCTCCTTAGAGAATTCTGATTCCATGTGTATTAGACCTTCTAATTCTATTGTCCAAGTCTGGCAGTCTCTCTTCCATATTTTGTATCTGCATTTGGATATTTTTTAGGATCTGATTGCCAGGTGACAGTTCTTTTCTTCAGCTGTGTCTAATGTCCTTTTGGACTTGGGTTTTTAATTTCTGTCATTTTTTTCATTCGTAGAAGTTCTGTTGGACAATTCTGGGTAGTTTCTTGCTCATTTCTATAGGCTTTCTTTTTGTGAAACAAAGGTTTTAAAGGTAAGCCAGTCTCTCCCTTGGCCTCTGTAACTCCATCAGCAGGAAGCAAGAGGAGTCCCTGGACTAACTCATCCTTCAGATAAGAATATTTCTTCCCTACCCCTCACATAAGCATCATCAGGAGTGAAGAAGGAGGCCCACAACTCTGTGCTTTTGAGAAGAGACTTCTCCCTCCACAGCCCTGATACTCAGAGTGTGCTTACCTACCTGGAGACCATCATAATCCCGTCATGTCTGTGTCCCCTGTTTATGTCAGCCATATAAGAAGCCCAGGACTTTCAGGTCATCCCTCATGCCCAGAGCTAAACCCCATGTGGTAAGGAGAGTTAAATAGCCTCTTCTGTGGCACTCCATGTGTCTCCTCATTTTTTTCCCACCACCTGCCGTACTACATATTTTATTATGTTTTTTGTCTCCCTCTCCTAAAATGTAACCTCCCTAGGACCAGGGTATTTATTTTGTTAGATGCTTTGTTCTTAGAGCTTAGAACATTACCTGGCATATAGAAAGTCGTCAAAAATTACTTGTCATGTGAATTAATATTAAACACTTTATATTCTGTGTCTTGACATTCTGTATCTGAGGATTTCGCAGGTCTGGTTTGTGTCATATGTTGCTGCTGTCTTTTATTTTCTGTGCCTTGTTTACTTGTGCGTTTTATGGTTTTGACTCTGAGCTCGTAGTCTCCAGATTTTGTCTGTAGAGATTGTTTGAAATGTAGATTGAAGTTGCATTCATTCAGAGGCCATTTGTGCTTACCTCTACTAGTTGCCTGGGATAACTACTTCCCCAGGACCAAATTAATATCTCTGCTCGTTTTTAACTACACAAGTAGGGTGAATTGGGCTATAGACATAATGTATGTGGGATTATCAGCTTGTGGATGTAAGTTATCAAAGGATGTATATGTCAAAATATATGTATGTATATTTATATTTTGATCATTTGTAACCACATTATCCTTGACACGTGGCTGTACATATTTTCTACCAAGTGCCAAGGGCCAGACAAGCAGGTGTCCTTGTTGTCCCTTTCTGTGCAGCGGGTGTTCCTGTTGACCCTTACACTGGAAGGATAGCCTGCTTTGGGTTTTCCATCTCTATTAGATTTCTCCATCTTGGGTGGACTGTAGCTTAAGCTGATTTCTAAAAATCCAGTCTTCTTAGATCTTCAGATTTCCCAAGAGTCGCTTGATTTTTTTAATGTGAAATCAGCAATTTTTAAGTATTGACAGTCAATTCAAATTTATTTCTTTAAGTGCTAGGCAAAAAAAATTACGATGAGTCATAGTTGAGCTTCAGTCTACCAGTTAACAATTTCTGTTCTAAAACAGACTCAACCCATCAATCAACCCATGTGTATTGAATACATAAGATGCAGAATGCTTTCTGTTAGAATGCATCTATTAGATACAGTAACCACAGATTTGGAAAGAAAAGTCCAATTTCAGATTTCTGCTTCTTTTTCTCTATAAATATACTTGTCAGATCATGTGCCTAGATTTCCTGTTCAGGATGTATATTCACTATATCTACAATGTAAGGAAATATAGGGCATA